ACTACCGCCGCCGCCGCCGCCGCCAAGCATGGGGTCGTAGAGGTATGTCTGGTGACCACCGGCACCACCACCGCCGCCACCACCACCAACTCGTGACTCCAGTTCTTCAGCCAGCTGTTCCGTGTTCTGCTTCTCTTCCTGTAACAGAGAATTTAACCATGTTGATTAGTAGAGTCTTGCATCGAAGAGATCATGTAAGATGATGGGCGGGGAGAAAAACAAATGTGCTCAGTCAATGTGGCACGATAAAGCCGGATTTGGTAAAACAAGAAGGCGAGGACGCCTTCAACTGGCAGTAAAGCAACAAGACCATTTCTTTAAGAGTCCGGTCGTAAACTGCCGTTCGGACACGAGGTATGTTAAAAAGAGGAGGAGGCGGTGAGGAATGTGGATAGTCAAATTGGACTTCCCCATGAATCGTGAAATTAAGCAGGATGTCCAACAACTTATTCGTGCCCTGAAAACCATTTTAACTTCGACATTTGGCAGTGAAATCGTCCTCCAATCTTCGGTGAACCGGTCCACGCAGGCTGGAATGTAGGGAGATCAGTTGGACAATGAAGGGGTGCCCATGTTCGTCAACTGGATATGGCTGGCCCACTGTGGTGAAAGCAGCCATGCGGGGCCAAAATCCACCGCTAGCTGCGGTATTCTTTCTAGCTGCTGAGATATGCATTTGACTGGCAGGATGAGGATTCTGTCATGTTGTTTCGAATCATCTGTACTCAATAAATTGGTCAACTTTTGAAAGAAATTACAACGATTGCTTTATACCAGTTGCTACTTGTTGGATTGGAACTCGGCTAGGCGAAAGGGATTTGTTTAAACTGTTTTAAAACAGGATTGGTTTGTCTCTGCCCTTAACTTGTTTGCCTTATTTAACCCAAAACTGACGTTTGTCGAGGCACATCGTGTAAGCTGACATTTTGGTATGAGTTATTTTACCAGTGAATCCTCCAGTCGATTTAAGAAGGAGAGTTGCCTCTCTCTTCTCAGATATACCGACTCTCCGTAGTTGCATTTCCTTACCACCATCACTGGCAGTATACTATTACAACGACTGACAGGTCACCTACAACCAACGAATGATATATAAGCCGGCCCACTGAAAAAAATGGTTTTGAACTAGGGCAAAAGCAGTTTAAGTAGTGCATCTCATAGATCCCTAGTCCCAGAATTTTGTCCTACGGAAACGGTGGTTATAGGGGTTATTAAGGTGGGGA